ACAGGGAAAGGAATCTACGAGTGAAATAGCCCTTCTTGGCTAAGAGAAGAGTTGTCGCACTTCGTCAGAAGGTGTTTACGGAGCTTGGGCTTCTACAAAATGTCCCTTCACTTCAGAAAATGCTACGGTACGTTAACATTAGTTAGAAAGGCCCTCATATACTACAGTACAGCCTAGAGCATAGTTATGGTGAGAGGTTTTAACCCGTTGCGGCCCGTCGTTTTGCGAGGATCTCTGCATCATTTCTCCCTCTTTCATCGATACTTACTAGTTTCATATTTTTTTCACTTCGCGTGAGATATGTGTATTCCGTGCACAAAAACGTGTTCTGATAAATTTAGAAGATGAAACAAGCGCGAAGTAGATCATGGGGAACAGCGCAGAGAGGGAAAAATGTATGACACACCATGCGTGTCACGCGGTCCGAAACGGAATCATGTGTTAGTGTACTTAGGATGCATTCGCAATTACCGCAAATTCAAATCACAGTCAAAAGAAAACTTGTTCTTTTAGCAATTAAAATATTTTGCAACACGTGTGCTAAAAATAGAACAAAAAACAACACAGCGTACAGTAACGCCATCAATACAACTGTAAAGGTGAAAAAAAAACAATGGAAAACAAGAAAAAAAAGTACTTACATGTGAATTGATCTTGACTTCATTTATTGACAATTCTCCGTCGATTAATTTTACAGAAAGTTGATCAAGTGTAAGATTTTGCTCGAGAAATTGTCCAAGATATCGCTGTATCATAAAGCGACACCATCGTGTATGGAGGCCCTCCGTGATATTAAAATCGGAAAGCTTCATGCAATCTATAAATGCATTGGTCAGATTAAAAAACATGAACTTCGGTATCAATAGAAAACTTCGGTATCAATAGGTATCGGTTGAAAATTTGAAAGGAAGGATTATTGATCGCGATTCAACAACGACCCTCGGAAACGAAATGCAAGGTAAATACACATTTCGCATCGAATTTTCATGTCAACACGATCGACAGAACGGCACTATGACCACTTGTTATCAAATATGTAATTTTGAGAGAAATTACTGTGTAAAATCGTCATCATCGTTGGCGTCATAAAAGAATCATCATAAATTTCATAGGAAAACAGCTGCCCAACTTTACGCTTAACCAGGAGAAAACCTTATTGTTTGATGATTAAATGCAGTAAAAAAGAAACACTTGAATCCACATGATCAGAATATTTCACTGCGTAAAGTTCACCATATTCAGCGACCCAATGCGCAGGCAACGCTCAGCTGATCATAGCATTTCGTTGCGTAATGCTCGACGTAGTTAACGCTCTAATACGCAGGCAACGCTCAGCTGATACAATATGGGTGGCATGCTGCTGAATTAATGTTTTTTGCTATTTTCGTGTTTTATAGATCAGCAAACATGATTCTGTGAAATTCCTAGGGAAACGGACTTGTTTTCCCAATGCGAAAATCTAGTCGCTACCTCGAACAGGTTTTCGCTGTTATTAAAATAATTCTCTATCAGTTGAGCACTGCTTATTTCGAATTCCAAGGGGACTTAAAGTAATTACGCATTTTTAACTACACTTGCAGGATGCTGCAAAAAACGTCATTCTCTTCAATTCCACTGGCCACTGAGTTCATACAAATTCACACCAAAATTTATCGATAGGTGCTGCAGTACGAAAGAACGCGCAAAACTAAATGTGGTACAAATCCACAGTCATGACCCTTGAGCGTTACCAATTTTTTCCCAGGGACCTCGTTAGTGAAGCTGATTTGTGCTGTGGTCCTGGACATCAAACGCAATTTCATTCACCAGTTATTTCAATTCAGCAGTTGTCTCTCTCCTCATTTTCCGACATGCAACTCCTCTTGGGAATAAATTTTCAAACGACTTTCTGTGCTAACTCAAATAGTCGTAATGCAGATGGACTTCTGCCTGAGCCTGAAGAGGGAAAAAAATCTGAGGAAGGACACTTTGAAGACAGTGGTCACGATTGCTGCGGTTATTGCCAGCGTCATTGGTGGAAGGGCTAAGTGAGGTGTGACCAAACGCCCTCTCGCAGCCTTTCCACCAATGACGCTGGCAACAACCGTCCGCCTCCAGCAATCGTGCCCACTGCTTTTAAGAATGGCAACCCCAGTCCTGCACCCTTTCAAATGCCCCTCCCCTTATAAGAGGGTCTGCTCTTGGTTGCATTATTTAGTAGTAGGATGGCGGTAAAACTTTTTTTAGCGCCCAGTAGTGAAAACGGTTAGCAGCTAGGTATAAGTGGAGAGTAGCCGGATTGGGGCAGGGAAGGACTATGGGTGCGCTCTTTCATGCCCACGCTCTTAGCTTCCGTTTGAACCGGCAACCGTGTACCGCCCCGGCGCTCACAACGAACTCCGTGGACACTCCCTTTACAACGAAAAGAAATGGACTGCATCTACCCCAGTTCAGTGAAAACCCACCAACTGGTAGAAAAGTATACAATTTCAACAACTTTATAAAGAGAACTTCCACTTTATCTCAATATTGGCATTACTATGTTGTGTTCTAGAAAAAAATGCTAAGAGCGGTAGGAAGCTGACATTTTAAGAAGGCAGTAGCATTGATTTCACACCAATTTCTAGTTGAATCACATCCTTAAATTGGTTGCTGTGCTCTGTGATTATGAAGAAAAATCTCTGATACACTCTGCTTTACTATAAAGAAACGAAAAGTAGTAGCACAACCCTAGTGCGGGAGGCTCATGCTCAACCGGTTTCACGTTGTTGCGAATGTGATGAGAGAAGGCAAGTTGAAGGGCGGGACAAAGAACGAGATGCTAAGCGGCCGGCAGCTGAATTCTAAAAACGCCAGCGCCCCTGAAAAAAGCGCGAAATTCGAAATGACAAAAAAACCGGGTCTACCACCATTGTGGCGGCAACGATGGCATCGCATGCCGCTCCATAAGATGTTATAGCTGGTTGTGGCGTATCTACTCTAAGATCTTGTCCTTGAAACGTGTGTATTAAACTTGAAAATTCGTCGAATCAATGGAAGGAATCACACTACTGGTTGCCTTTTTGCATGGGAAAGCGGTCACCGGTGCATATGTTGCTTTAAAACCACCACTACCGAAATGAAAGTACAAATGAGTATAAAGTTTTCTAAAGATCAGAACCGGCATTTTTCAAACTTGAGAAAACAGTAGGGAAAACCTGGATTAAGTACCTTAACAATTCGCAGGGCCTTTGTATCAGGTGAAAAAGTTAGGGTGTGAACGTTTCCGTGTTTCCTTACCCAATACGTTTCGTCATTGTTTTCGGCCACGCCTCTATGCAAGGTGCGCGCGAAATATCTGCGTTGTGGGTCGCTCTAGTCCATACTCCTCTCGTCTCTTAAGTACTGATTGTGGATAAGTCGAAAATGGCTATGCGGCACTGAGCCTCACAGGTGTCGTCCGCATAGAGGGGGTGCCCGGCTGCCTACTCTCCTCTCTTATACCCAGTCTCTGCCCTCATTCCTCTGCACTTTCAAAGCGATCGCTGCTCTCGCTGCCACGTCCCTTTCTACCCTCGGGTATGCGCTGTATGTCCGTGTTTGTGCTTAGGCATTCGAAAACCACAACAACATTCTTTCGTGTTACGAACGGTCAGAAAACCCTTTCCAGGCCTAAGGCCACAAAAGGGCTTAGTGGTAGGTGAAGTAGCTCCCATCCCGGCTCTCTCTGGGGTAGACCTAGGCGAAAAACTTACTCCCTGTCTAGCAATTTAGTACCAAAGGACGTTCCGCATAGCTCACACCTTTAGAAACTCCTCATGCTGGACTAGAGTTACCGTATTCCGAGGAACATCGAACCAAAATGCCTACAGTTGATATTGTCGCAATTAGTCGGTGCGGTCTCAGTAGGCATGGAATGAGCCCACTCGAAGCGTTCCCTAGCGCTGCTTTTTCTCCTCTTGAATCGATCACGATTGGTTGAAAAGGAAGCCGGGGCTAGATTGTTCCATCCCTCCTGGTCTTCCTCAGTGTGACTGAGACGTAGACGACATTACTAGTTCCTTAGGTCCGAACTCAAATTAGCTCCGGTAGGGGTACAATCTATCATGCAACTTCTTACCATCTAAGTGCGTCCCAGACGCACGTTTGCTAGGACAAAATTCCATGTAGATCACTGAGCAACAGTGGTTCCAATAACAATCATAATAAGTATCAATATTTATTAAAAAAAGCCAAAAATGCTTCAATAAATCTATACAACACGAAAAATGGATAACAATGCCTCGAAAGCAAACATTGGGCCGGGATGTGGGCAGGTTTCCGTGGCTGTTAACTCTGTCTGTGCATTCCATAACCCAAAGATGTAAAGGGCGTGGCGCGTACTTCGTTTGAACCTGACACAGGACGCGTTTTCCTGAGATTTTGAGGCAAATTTCCGCCTGTCTTATGCCGAACAACGACATTATAACAGCTGTTCCAAAACGGCAACATCCCGCCAAAAGCGCCACGTCTGAACTAAGTGCGTATCCACGCCCTCTCTTTCTTCAGGATATGAGGCGCCCGTGCTCCGAGTGTGAACGAAAACTTTGCAAGTGGCCATGCGCGACACCAAAACCAAGCTGGTGTGACGCGGAAGTCACACAATACATGAACAGATAGAATTCTGGGAAATCGCGAAGTCCCGCCCACATGCCCAACACAATCTTTGCTTTGAACCCCATACATATATCCAACGACTTGAGGCAGTACTAAGAAATCGGCATAAGTTCATTTTAGATTCGTGTTTTTCAACTCTTCAGGAACGAAGTTCCCACGATCCGTGATTATCTTGGTGATCAGTTTTCCAGGGGTCACGTCAAATGCTGGATTCCAGACCGGTGTATCTTCGGTACCGATGAATACGCCTGCAATCAAAGCATTGATTTACTACTCTTGGCTAATATCAGTCTTATGCGTTGTATAATTATTGACCCATGCCACTTTTGGCCTTCACCACAGCCCCTTCAAAAATTTCAGCGAATTTGGCATGCCTGTAGACGTGTTCGCTGCAGATGCTGAGGCGCATAAGGGACTAGATTTGGCGCGGCGCCAGCCCGTTTCCACCAGCTGTTGTCGCTTGCCCTTCTCACAGTCGCAGGAGAATATGCTGGCACCACGCCAGATCCAACCCTCTGACACGCCCCAGCATCCGCAGCGCACAAGACTGCAAGCTATTTCAGTTGCGGTAACCCTTTTTCCAGCCTCGTTTGCAAAAGAGTTGATCGATTCCGCGAGCCGCCCTAGATGGAATCAGAAGCGAAACAAAACCCTTCCTGACGCAAGCGGAACCAGGAAATTTGTTTCATGCCTTCAAATTATTAACCGGTCCTTTCACATTGCGGGCGTGTTCTACCAAAAGCACTTTAATTGTCCCACAACCCTTGATGAATCTTAGTTCCTGATTTTGAGTGAATTTTAAGGCCATCACGTGTTTTTGCATCTAAGAAGAGCTGCTGCTATTTATAAGTGACTGCATGAGCTTCTTGAAGTCGATCCTGAATCGCAATCTTTCCTAGGGCTCTCAAATTGCGGGTTATCAGCACCGTTTCCCGTATGGACATTAATTCTCTGGTCTTCCAAGTTTTTTCCATCGATTTGGCTGGAACTTTATGAGGAAAACAGATTCTAGCGAGCCTGTCCTGCACACACAGATATATTCTTCTGCCACCTTAACGACAGCCTCTTTCGACCTCAGAGACAGAAGAGGTGAGAGCTGCTGCCGGCCTCCGTCCAACAGGGCAGATTGGACGCGCTGTCTAGCAAAGTGCTTAGGCTAACTTACTCGAGTTGTTTCTGTAATTGGTAACTGAATTGTAAAACATTACCATTTACTGAGAGCATTTCGACAGCTGGTCTTTCTTCAATTGTGATGTCATCTCCTGCCTGCCTAGACAAGTTCACAGACGTGACTGGAACCTAGAACATGAGGTTTTTTTGAAATTTTTTCCTACTGAAAAAACTTTGCTTATATGTTGGACATAGAAAGTGCCAGGAATTCCCTTCCCCACAGAAGCGCGTCAGCGGACCCCATTAGTCATAAAGACCTTCCACTTTCCTCTCATTAAGAATTTCTCGGGCATGATGTACCTTATTCAAGGCACAGTCCATGCCGATCGTGTCGGCGGAAACAGTCAACTAG